GCATTCTAGCCGAGCGCCAGGCACTTAAACAAAATAAGTGGCAGCTGGCACCATAAGCCGAACGCCAGACACTTGCTAAAAATTTAAAGCCAAGTGGCAAGTGGCATTCTAGCCGAGCGCCAGGCACTTAAGCAAGATAAGTGGCAGCTGGCACCATAAGCCGACCGCCAGACACTTGCTAAAAATTTAAAGCCAAGTGGCAAGTGGCATTCTAGCCGAGCGCCAGGCACTTAAGCAAGATAAGTGGCAGCTGGCACCATAAGCCGAACGCTAGACACTTGCTAAAAATTTAAAGCCAAGTGGCAAGTGGCATTCTAGCCGAGCGCCAGGCACTTAAGCAAGATAAGTGGCAGCTGGCACCATAAGCCGAACGCCAGACACTTGCTAAAAATTTAAAGCCAAGTGGCAAGTGGCATTCTAGCCGAGCGCCAGGCACTTAAGCAAGATAAGTGGCAGCTGGCACCATAAGCCGAACGCCAGACACTTGCTAAAAATTTAAAGCCAAGTGGCAAGTGGCATTCTAGCCGAGCGCCAGGCACTTAAGCAAGATAAGTGGCAGCTGGCACTATAAGCCGAACGCCAGACACTTGCTAAAAATTTAAAGCCAAGTGGCAAGTGGCATTCTAGCCGAGCGCTAGGCACTTAAGCAAGATAAGTGGCAGCTGGCACTATAAGCCGAACGCCAGACACTTGCTAAAAATTTAAAGCCAAGTGGCAAGTGGCATTCTAGCCGAGCGCCAGGCACTTAAGCAAGATAAGTGGCAGCTGGCACTATAAGCCGAACGCCAGACACTTGCTAAAAATTTAAAGCCAAGTGGCAAGTGGCATTCTAGCCGAGCGCCAGGCACTTGCCATAAACAAACACACGGCAAAGCTAATATAAAAGAAAAGAGAAAAGATATATATGTATTGAAAATAGGTTGAACAGAGCACAACACAAAGGGAAAAAGAGTTCTGTCATTTCATTGATATTAAGCATTGAGTTTACAAAAAGTGAGATGTCCATCATTACAAAAAGATATGGAATGGAAGAGTCCAAAGGAGCCCTAGCTAGACGCCTCAGTACCAACAGCATCCTGGTTGTGCCGACCCGCCTCCTCGGCCCCATCAGCCGTCTCACCTTCACGAGGTGGGGAATCAAGATGAATGACTGAATCGTTCGGCTGGGGCTCAGCGTCAGCAGTGGCTATGGAAGGTACCACAGTTGACGATTGAGGAGCGGTCAGAGGCAGAGCGGTAGGAGGAGCTGTGATGATCCTTGAGGAAGCAATGTCCTGGCACTCATCGAATATGCGCTCCGCTTCGGTGGGTTCTGGGTCGACATAGACCCCCAGAGGTTCGATCCCTAGATCCTTGTCGACCTCATCTGGAGTGGAACTGGTCTGTCCCTCATCCGGAACTCGGTCGGCGAAACCTTCCCGGAATCCTTGAGCATATCTAAGAGCACCGACCCTTGAGAACCGAGCGTGAAGAGCCAGCATCCCACCGCTCACTCTGCTGATCGCATCGATCAGAGCGGTACGCTCGTCCAGAGCTCTTTTCTCAAAAGCCATCCGAGCAGACTGTTCATCAGCCAGAAGGCGCTGGAGTTCTGCCTTTTCGTCTCTGATTGAGTCACGCTCAGTCTGCCAGACGCTCTTTTCAAGCTGGAGGGCATCCTTCTCATCCTGAAGAGAGTCATTCTCCTTCTTCAGGACATCTCTCTCTTGTTCAGTTTTTTCAAGCCGAGCCAGTACCTCGGTATTCTTCATGGCGAGAAGGTCGTTTTCTTTATTAGCCACCTCTAGGCTATCAGAAAACTTACGAGCCCTGGCGTTCCCCATCTCCACCTGCTTCTGTATAGCCATCATTCCGAACAATGTCTGCATAGGTGTACATTAAGAACGGTTAAGCCAATAGTCAGGTCGGGCGAAGGCAAGACCAAATAATATGAGAGAATTCATGAGTTGGAAAATAAAAGTCACCTCCATAGCAGATTGGGGAAAGCGGCTGAACACATCCTTCTGGGATAGGCCCTTTGCCGCCTCAAGGTCTTTCGGAGTCCACATGCTCCTATAGTACGCCATGGCGGTCTGGCCATCCTTCAGCATGGTCTCGTTCGGTTTCACGAACGTCCCATCCGTTCGGGTGTACCGAGGGGCCCATGGCGGTAAGGTGGGGATAGAAGGGGGGCCTGAAGCAGAAGCGGAGCCACCAGCTACAGTAGGCCCAGAGGGAGCAGGAGCTCTGATCGCACGGTGCAAGAGAGCACCCGGACCGGAGACCCGGGTCCTTCTTATGAGAGGTTCCTCCTCAGGATCGACTTCACTGTCAGGGTGAGGCCTTTTGCCTCGTTCTTTATCCCGAACGCCCCCCGCGGCAGCAGGAGCTGTGGTAGTTTGGGGAGACGCGCTCGGGTTGGCAGCAGGGGTGCTGACAACGGAGTTAATAGCCACTGTGCTCGGGATAGTGTCAGAGATGGTGGCTGAGGAAGAGGCTGATGCTGGAGAGGAGGTCGCCCCAGCAGCAGGAGTGGCTGGGGGAGTATTTTTCTTCCTGCCAAAAGAAGGAATCTGAAGCCTGCTCATGTTGTAGCCGAGTAATGAGAGCGCTAAGAGGTTGTCTGAAGTGAGGAGATCTGAGCAGGAAGGAATATCGTTCAGAACGTATTTCTTCAAGTAATTACTCCTATCCCTGCAAACACTGTAGCTCAAGTCATCACAAGGTATTCCTAAGGAACGGCATAAGAAAGTACAAAAACGGGGAACGCATGTTTCGCAGGGGCAATCATGTTTATGAGATTTGAATTTCTTATAGGAGGAAACAGAACAGACACCAAAGGCGCTCGGGATTGGGTAACCCTCTGCAGCCGGCGAAGACCAAGCCCCACTAATGCCCACGATACTATCCCTCCAACCCTTTTCAGATTTTATTGTGTCCGTACATATGGACATCTTCTCGAACGGGTAGAGGTGGTAGAAGGGTTCGTTAGTACGGATCTTACTGACCTTATAACACAGAAGAAGGTCTATGAGGTCAAGGTCCAGATTTCTGTCACGCATCAACAGGAGCATAACGGATATGATTCTAAAGAAATTGGGGTTTACCTGCAGGGGGGATATCCCCAATCTATTGAAGACATAGCTAAAGAAAGGGTGCAGAGGGAACCTAACGACATTCAATTGAAGGTTCGTGAATAAGACTTCGCCGGGCAGGAGGCCGGCACCGGTCATAATGTTAACGTCCTGAGGGCAGACCCTAACTTCGATGTTGTCAGGAAGTCTAAGTCTCATACGAAGAACATCCAGATCTACAACCATGGTGGAAGTGCTTGAAGGATCTAAAAAGGGGTAAATAGAAGCCCGCCGAAAGTAAAAAGGAACAAAACTAACCTCAGAGGACTGCAAGATCGCTGGAAGAATGACTCTTGAAGGATTTCACCAGAAAAAGCTTAGCACTGTTCTAGAAAGAGAGAGATTTGACTGATGAGGGAGACGGTAAAAGGACGTGAAGTGGTATTCTAGAGCCTTATAAAGGCGAGGGGGGCCCGAGGGCCGAAGCGTCGGGAAGGCGAGAAATTCCTCGAGCCCCGGAACATTGATTCTGGATCTGACCGTCCGTTCCCCCACGTGGTTTTCTCGAGCCGTCAACGTCATGATGAGACGCCATCAATAATTACCCCCTTATTAAATAAGGGGCAATTATGAGGGCAGTTGAGGAGGCCCAGGACGACATGGGCCGGATCTGACTTGCAAGCACGACATCCGGTCCGTACAGCTGGGTCGGCCCATAAAAAGACACTGCCATATGGGCCGAACGCGAATAAGCCCATCAAAGGTGACCAGGACTTATGGAGGAACAGGCCCAGATCCAGCAATCCGTCAATATTTGTAAATATCTTGTAAATATCTATAAAGAAGGGAAGGAATGGAAAGAAGAGGAGGATCTTTTGGTTGAAGTGTAAGAATTCTAGAGAGAAAAAGAGGGAATGAATTTCTTGCATCTTCAATGACATCATATATTATTGTTTATAGCGAGTAGAACAAAACTCACAATTGAAGATCGCACAAAATTGAAAAACAACAGCCAATGCTTGCAGCTAAAATTGAAAATTCAAATATTGATGGCGAGAACTGAAATTTCCAGCCTGATGCCGGAAATTAGAGATGGCGTTCACGACGACGATGCTGTCGTTGAGTGTGATTGACTTGGGTAAGGGCATGGGTCTGTGATCTGAGGAAGAAAACTGAGGACAAAGGTTGGCTAAACATCATCCGCGATCTGAGCCTCCTGCTAGCTCTATTCAACCAGAGCTTGTTCAGTACTTTGCTTTCTCAGTTGTTCATTTTGAGTAGCGGTTCCTTGCCTCTCTTTCCTAAGGTGCAAACTCGGAAGTAAAGAATTTATAGCAAACTCGGAATTAAGGGTGTGTTTGGATAGTATTAGTAATGAGAGAAAAGAAAAGAAAAGAAAGGATAGTATTAGTGAGAAAAGAAAAGAAAAGAAATGATAGTAATAATTTCTATTTGTGTTTGGATAGATAGAAGAGAAAAGAAAAGGAGAGAAAAGAAAAGAAGTGATAGCTATCCCTCCCTATCTCTCCTTATCCCTCCTTATCCCTCCACTTAAGTTACCCAAACACAAAGTTACACTATCCTCTCTTTTCTTTTCTCTCCCTATCCCTCCAAATCAACCCTACCAAACACACCCTAAGGAATTTATAACAGCAGTACTTTGCTTTCTCAGATGGACGGCCGGTGAGATGGGTTCGGTTTGGCAGTGGCTTTGGGTGTGATCAAGCTCGCCTGGACTGATGGCTGTACAACGATGGCAGAGCCGTCTTCTCCTTGCTTGTTGGTGCCGGCTGTCGCATGAGAGGCAGGGGCTGTTTTGGTCTTTTTACAAATTTTGTATTTTTATATATTTTATAAAATTATTGACTAAGGGTACATTAGTCAAATTTGATTTTAAATTTATATTTTTTGCACTTCACCCTTCAAAATACAAGAACAAGACATGTAGCCAGTTTATATCAACCATACAATCAAAATTAATCTTGTGAGAAAGTCTGCATCACTAAACAGTTATATGTAATATATATATATATATATATATATCATACAGAAACCTCTTAAACCAACGAAAAGAAGAAACTAAGAACAAGCAATCCGATTGTAACATGCCCAAGTGGTGTTGTAGAGAGGATAGAAAATGGCCTCACAGGTGAGCTTCCACTGCGAGAAGGGCGCCGAAGAATATCTGAATTACCATATGTTCCATAAACTCCTTTCTTACCATGAATTATTTCATGCAATGCTTTTAAGCTTAATTGATTAATATCTTCTTCGCTTGATTCAATCACTGTATCATTTTTGCCTGCAAACAATTTACATAAAAAAAAAAAAAAAAAAAAAGAAGTTAATTTATGTATATATACGTGTATTTTTAACTTACCAAGCAAAACAAGGATTAATTTAGTTTACATATATATATATATATATATATATAACAACAATATGATGAGAATTTTAAAGAACTTACTGGTGAGATGTTGATCCTGCATCATGAGTTGATCATGATCACCTCTGGTCTTCATGTTGGAAGTGGTTTGACATGAACAGAGTGGTAAAACATTGAAGCATAGGATGAAGAAGAAGAAGCATGCGAGTGTGAGTAATTGAGTCTTCTTCATGAGTCTGTTGTGGTGCTCTAGACTGTCTATACATGTCAATGTTAATTATAAGTGTTTTTGATACGTGTAAACGCCTTTGTTTGCGTGTCGGAAAGAGTAATCCTTTAGCATATACTTTTTAGGATTAGTTTCAACTAGTATAAGCAAAATGACATAAAAGGACTTAGTAACATGAGAGTATTTCATCCATTTCCATAATTTACCATCGAATAGATGCAATGTTAATCTCATAAATATGTAATTATTGAAAAAAATTATGAAAATCAAATGCATACTACATTAAATAGAGTGGTTTTTATTGATTTTTTTGTTCTAGAAACTTAGTTTGGGAATCTAAAAAGTGATTTATTTATATTCTAATTATATTGCTTCATGGAACATATTTTGAAAAAAATCTTTTGAGTTACTTTGTGGCCGGTCCAACTTTTACCAAGTTGTCTTTTCTTACTTTTTATTTTATTTTATTTCTATTCTATCCAGACCTCTCTCTTGCTAGCTTCTAACTTGTACAGGAAAAAAAACTTGGCTAACTTGCTTTTTTTTTTTTTTTTTTACTTATCTTGAGACCCACTTTTAGATGACCTTTCTAAAGATTTTTTTTTTTTTTTTGTTTATATATATATATATATATATATATATATTTTATACTAACATCCTTCAATACATAAGAATTTCTACTCAAAGCTATTTGAAAAAACTGGACCAAATAACCAGGGAAAAAAAACAAGTGAAATGCATACTACAGGGTGGGACGCAAATATAATTTTTTCATAAATAATATTATATATATAATAAATTTATGGTAAAAATAAATAATTTATATATACTTTTTAAAATTTAATTTTCTATATAAAGTGCAACATGCTAAGAAATTTATTGTAAAGGAAAAAAATCATATAGTGCATCAGTTGTTGATTTATTAGTTTGCAAAGAATGAAAAATCTGTTTAGTTAATTTTTTATATATATAATTTTATTAGCAAGCAAAATAGTGCATCAGTTTTTAATTTATTGCCACAGAATTTCTTGGGAGATAATGGTTGAAGAGGCCATTGAAATTTTAATTTATTTACTGTCAATGTGTTTCAATAGTATAAATCTGTTGAAACTTGGATGTTTTTTTTTTCTTCTGTGTGGAAGGATGTTAGTATAAAAATAAAAAAAAAATAAAAAAAGGTAACGTGTAGAACCGGTTACAAGGTAACTCAAAAGACTTTTTTTAAAGTGTGTTTCATAAAGTAATATAATTATAATATAAATAAACTACTTTTTAGATTCCCAAACGTGTAATAGCGAGCTCAAAATTGATCAATAAAATCACGCAACTGATAACAATAGTCGCCTTAGGCCTCTGTTGCTACCAAACCTCAAGTTAAGATTCATCCACTCAAAAAAGTAAATATTAGGTGCGTCAGGTACGTCATGTCATAAACGTACCAACCCAATGAAATATAACGTATTATCATGTTATTAGTAATTTTATAAGTAAGTGGACTATTTTTTATTTTTATTTTTGAAATAATACATTATTATTAGGTGAGTACAATAATGACATGATGGGTCTAGAATATTAGGGGTGCACACGATTTGGTTTAGACTTGTTTAAGAGTTTTTTTGAAATCAAACCAATTCGAATGGTTTTATAAAATTTAGAACCAAGGCGAACCATTTGACCAAAGGAATCAAACCAAACCAAATCGTGAAAAATTGATTTGGTTCAGTTCGGTTCCACGGTTTTTTTTTTTTTTTTTTCATATTTCAAAATCCACATGTACAACAATAAATTAAGTTACCAACACATTCAAAACTATTAACATATTCAGAACTTTTAATTCATTCTTCTGTATCATTTCTGAAACTAAAATGAATAAATTCAGAATTGCTAATAACCTAATACATTTAGAATTAGTAATTCATATAACAAACAATATTAGACACAATTCAAAATTTAGCCACTATCAAAAATAAAAAATAAATTAAAAAAAGAATAATCTAATAAATTGATAAGATCTAGGCCATAACATTGATAGTTGTTATAAATTTCTAAGTGATTTGGATTGTAGGATTATATTATATTATATATACGGTATAATTTAACATATATATAAATACATATATATAAAAACATAGCGGTTCTGTTTGGTCTAATTCGGTTCTAAGAGACTTCAAATCGTATCACGGTTTTACAAATTTAAAACCTTAACCGAACCAAACCATTAGCAAACCATACTAAACTAACTGATCCGATTTGGTCCGATTTAAATTTTCGATTTGACCGAAATTTTGTGCACCCCTGTAGCATATCCAATATCTACTGCACTAAAAAAACGCACTAAAACGGAATAACCAAATGGGAAATGACAGTCAGTGAAATATATTACTAATCCAATGAAGCATCAAAGATTGCATCTTTATTCTTTCTTTTCAAGATGCTTCTGCTTTGCATTATACAATTAATTATGTAGCATATAAAGATTATCGCTTATGCTGAAAGCAACTCAATTAGTCTTCAAATTGCTTCATTCCATCATGTTGAGAAACACTTTTTTCTCATTTTGGATTTAACTGATTCAGATCTTCTTATTACTTCAGTGCCTAATTCAAATTCACCACAAGTCTATGACCATTCAAATGCGATTTAGATATCGAAGTGTTCAATTAATTTATACGTTAAAATTCATCCGTTCACTTTGTTCCATAAGAGACTCGAATCATCGACTTCTAATTCAAAAATTACAAACTTACAATTTAGCATTTGTTCGCATTTTTAAATATTTAAAAAAAAAAATTCAACTTTTGGTAAATGTTTTTCTTCTTCTTCTTCTTCTTCTTCTTTTTTTTTTTTTCTTTATTGTCAATTTGAAATATATATATATATGTGTGTGTGTGTGTATGTATATATGCGTGAGCTCTAAAATGTATGAAAATATTTTATATTTGTTTCTTTCAGTTATTTATTCATTCTTTAGTGCAACTAAATGAGAGAATTAATTAATAGATTATGCAACTACCATATAATTTATAAACCAATATTGTTTTTGCACTCCCGTCTGGACACTTGAAATCAGCTTGTTTTTATTAATATTTTAACTTCAACAACCAAAAAAAACGTATTGTGATTAATTTAATTTTGGAAAAAAAAAATATTGGGATTTATTCTTTTGAATCTAATTTAATTTATTGCTTCTTGGGTTTTTGAGAATTTTGATATTTTTAATATGAAAAAATAGATTTTTTTTTAAAAAAAAAGATTAGATATGTGTATTGTGTGCACATTTTACTAGGGGAAAAAAACTTCTTCTTTTCGAGACTGACTTCACAGTATTTTCACTGCATTAAAAATAAAATTTTAAAATCAGACTTCTAAGTTTGAATTTTGATAATCGGCTGAGAATAATTGATATTAATAAGGAAGTTAAGTGATTTTTTCGCATATATATTCATTACTGTGTAATAATTACATAAGAGAAGATGAAATAACACACACACAAAAAAAAAAAGGGATAGGAGTGGCGGGAGGGGAACTCATAATTTCAATTGAAACACTTATGATTAAATTTAATTAAAAAAAACAACCATACTATTCAAAAGGATTTAAGTTTCAAGTCGTGAATTATAAAATTCAAAGATAATCCAAATAATCCAGTCAAGAAGGACAGATATCTAAGATTCAATAAATGTTGGCTAAGATTCAATTCATATTGTAGGATTCAGCCAGTAAATCATGAGACTTCAACAACTATGATCCTAATGGAACTATGATTTACAATTAGAATCCTATGAACCATAACAACCTATTTGAATCATAATTCTACATCCTTTTTGTAAGAAATCCTTTGACAATCTTTCTAACTTGACCGTTTACAATTTCAGTCTTAAATATCATCAATTATTATGATTTAAAATTTAAGTAATTGTAAATAGTTTGATAAAAAATATTAAATCTAACCATATCTTTTACTACTTTTGTTAGTTTTTCATAATCATAAGATATAATTAATTAATGGCACAAATGATATAGTATTATCGGTACAAGTAAGTCTTTCTCGTACCATATGTCAAGTGTTGAGGGTCTATAATTTGTCCCGTTGATGGTCTAATATAGGGTCCGTTTGGTTCAACCCATTCTAAAGGGTTGTAATAGCATTAAATGATATGTACTTGGTGACAGGACAAAGACAAAGATGATGAAAATAGTATGAGAATGTGTGTGCTGCCATTCTTGGTAAAAAAAAAAAAAAAAATGGTTGTGCATATGTCAATGATTGATTGATTTCTGTACTCTGTTAAGGCAGGTAATAAGTTACTTCTTAATTTTATTATTATAGCATCCTTATATATATAGAAGAATTAAGAAAATAAATAAGGAAATAATATATTATCTAAATCAATTAAATACTAATTGACCTTTCAAATTAAAAAATAAATAAAATACTAATTGCTTAATATACTTCTAATGCTATTGGTATTGGTTTCCTAACATAAAAAAAAAATAAATATCGTTTTCTTAAGAACCAAACAATGAAAAACATAATTTTTAATATCAATTTCCGTTTTTAAAGGCTGAAATGATTTAATTGTTCATGTTATCACCAACCAGACTTTCATCTAATTTATTGAAAATAATCCGCATTAAAAAATGGGTTGAATGTAAAAGCTAAAAATCATACTGCAAAACAAAAGATAAAACATGAACAATTAATATTTGCAGATCGAATTACTGCATTGTTTAATTAAATTGGTTACAAGTACAATAATACACATTGACATGAACAATTAAATTTGCACAAGGGGCAAAAATGAGGAATTTTTGTTTTTGCTTCTCATCACTTTCATCTTCCCTCTTGCATGATAAGAAGTAACAATTACAGTGCAAAGAATGGGCTGCCTATATACAAAATGGCCTAAACATGAGTTGGGACACAGGAGATATACATCTTCATGAAGTAGCCACCATGCTGGAAGACTCTTCCGACATTTTCCAAACACTGATCAGCTCACCGGTTGCATCACCAGTGAAGAAAAGGCCTTCAGGACCTATCTGGATTGCTCGAACTTGCCGTCTGGTTCGATTCTACTATTTTTTAACTTTCTTATTCATATATATATATATATATATATATTAATCAATTGAAAAATCAAATTGTGAAGTATATATACCTGTGTGATGATCTATTGGTTTTTGATTTTTTTATCATAGAATTGAACTAAATAAAACAAAGCATGTTAGGTCCGGTTTGATTTAACAGTTTTAATATTTTATTTTAGGTTAATTTTTGAGAAAAAATATGTAAGACATTGATACTATCTCAACTTAATTGAATTGTGATTTGTTTGTCTTTCTTTCTTTGATAAACACGCTCATACATTCACTTGCTCTAAGTAAAAATTACCTTTGAAAATATTTTTTGAGTTTACTACTCACAAAATGAAACTATATTCTTTCATCGGATATCTTTTCCATGATAATGGCCACTGCTATTCTGACGTTTCTTTTCCTTCTTAATTACTCTATAAGACTATAATTATTAACATTTTAAAAATATGTTGTGAAAAAATATTTCATCTTTCTTTCAGTTATTTGTTCATTCTTTAGTGCAAGTAAATGACAGAATTAATTAATAGATTATACAAATACTATGTAATTTATAAACCAGTATTGTTTTTGCAGTTTGGTCACTTAAAATCTGCTTGATTTTATTAATATTTTAACTTCAACAACCCAAAAAAAAAAAAAAAAAGTATTGTGATTAGTTTAATTTTTGAAAAAAAAATATTGGGATTTATTTTTTGGAATCTAATTCAAGTTATTGCTTCTTGAGTTTTTAAGCATTTTGATATTTTTTATATGAAAAAATTGATTTTTTTTTAAAAGAAGATTAGATATGTGTATTGTGTGCACATTTTACTAGGAAAAAAAAAACCGTACGTGCACACATATTTATATGCTGCTTTATTTCATCTTTTCGGAGAGTGATTCCAATATTTTCTCTAAACTCCCAAAAATGTGTGCCCTCGTTTCGGGTTAGTTCAAAAAAATTAGGAGCTAGATTTGGTTCAAATTAATGCAGTAGTTGAACTTGAACCAATGACCCATTTTTCATGAGACTTGATTTAACTCCTTTGACACTTTGTGATTTTGAAAATAGAATTTTAAAATCAGAAATCTAAGTTTGAATTTTGATCACTGGCTGAGTATAATTGATACAGTATTAGTAAGGAAGTCAAGTGATATTTTCGCATATATTTAAAAACATTATTCTTATATTTTTAATGTTGTTTGACAACTCATATAAATACATAATTATCAAGAGTCTTCTCAAAATAAATGGTGACAATTTGAGTCTTCAAATGAGTAAATTAAGTGGTCGTGTGAGTGATGGTATGTATGAATTTCTTGTCAATGAAATATATATATATATATACACACTACATCCTTTAAGTCACGTAAAAGTGGAAGCGAGTGTGAAAGTGATAAAATTTAAGTTTGGTAAAGTAGAAACCGATACGAGATCGTGAAAGCAGCACCCGTTGAGTAGAATTATATAACTTAATTTATACCATTTACATCTGAAATTTAGAATTTTTTAAATTAATTAGTTTAAAGTTGTAAGTAGTATGATTTTCAATTCCAATTTTAAAGCACATTATGTGCTATCCAGAGCAACTTGATTTTGCAAAATTTATATTTGAAAGATTTTGTTCCTAATGATGTAGAGAAGTAGAAGCTTAATTATGATGATATATGAATTGGTTGAAGTAACTCAATAATCTTTTATTTTCTTTTATTGTAAAAAAAAAAAAAAAAAAAAAAAAAAAAAAAAAAAAAAATCTTTATTTTCTTTTAAATATTTATAATGACCTACACAATAGTGTAATCCTCCCCTATGCATAATTCCCCTAATCCAGACTTCCAGAGGGATAGAAGCAGATTTACCCAATACAATTTTGTTACTTTAACGAAAAATAAAAAATTTTAAAAAACAAAAAATAATAAAATAGTAGAAGTTATTAATTAAAAAACACAAAAAATTAAAGAAGGCTGGTCACGGATTCAAATTGACAATGAAAAAAGAAAAACCAAAAGAACAAAGTAGAAATCAAGCAAGCCCATAAAGTTATATTTATATATAATACAAGAACAAGACATATAGGCAGTTTATATCAACCATACAATCAAAATAAATCGTGTGGGAAAGTTTGCATCTCTAAACAGTTATATGTATGTGTGTGTGTGCGTGTGTGTATATATATATTCATACAGAAACCTCTACACCAACGAAAAGAATAAACTAACAACAAGCAATCCGATTGTAACCTGCCCAAGTGGTGTTGTAGAGAGGATAGAAAATGGCCTCACTGGTGAGCTTCCACTGCGACGATGGTTGCGCCGAAGAATATCTGAATTACCATAAACTCCTCTACTCTTAGGATGATGAATTATTTCATGCACTCTTTTTAAGCTTAATTGATTAATATCTTCTTCGATCGATTCAATCACTGTATCATTTTTGCCTGCAAATAATTTACATAGAAAAAAAAAAAAAGAAGTTAATTTATGTATGTGTACATGTATTTTTAACTTACCAAGCAAAACATGGATTAATTTGGTAAACATATATATATGTATATGTATATGTATATATATATATATAACAATAATATGATGAGAAACTTAAAGAACTTACTGGTGAGATGTTGATCCTGCATCATGAGTTGATCATGATCACCTCTGGTTTTCTTATTGGAAGTGGTTTCACATGAACGGAGTGGTAAAACATTGAAGCATAGGATGAAGAAAAAGCATGTGAATGTGAGTAATTGAGTCTTCATGGGTCTGTTGTGGTGGAGGGGTACTCTAGATTATATAGATTGTCTATTTATATATGTCAATGTTATTTATAAGTGTTTTTGAGACATGTGAAGGCCTTTGTTTCCGTGTCGAATTTGGCATATACTTTTTAGGGTAAGTTTCAACTTGTATAAGCAAAATGACATAAAAGGACTTAATAATATGAGAGCATTTCATCCATAATTTACCGTTGCATACATGCAATCCGTTAATCTCATAAATATGTAATTATTGAAAAAATCTATGAAAATGTTAGTTTGAAGTTGAAAATAATTTTTATCACATGCAATTCATTAATCCTGTAAGTACATGATTATTAAAAAAAAATCTTTGAAAATGTTAGTTTGAAGTTGAAAATAATTTTTATCACATGCAGTTCATTAATCCTGTAAGTACATCATTATTAAAAAAAAATCAATGAAAATGTTAGTTTGAAATTGAGGATGGTTATTTTGTACAAATGATATCAAAATTTAAAGTTACGGTTTTTTTTGGGAACCAAAATTAGAAAGAATTTTGATTTTTGTGTCCAGAAAAGCAGGACTTTCCAAAACAAAATAAAAATAATAAAATAAAAAGGATACAGATTTTTTTTTTTTTTTTGGTTGAATTCAATAAAAAAGTTTAACCTTGTCTCCAACCCACTTCAAAAGTATTAATAGTTAAGATAAACAAATTAATCAAATTGCCAATCGTATGAAAAGCATGTGTCATCCACTCAAAAGAGTAGATATTTGGGTGCGCCAGTATACTATGTTATTAACGTATTAATATAATAAAATATAATATATTATCATGTTATTAGTAATTTTATAAGTAAGTGGACTAATTTTTTTTTTGAAATAATAAATCATTATTAGGTGAGTACAATAATGACATTACGTGTCCAGCGTATTAGGAGTGCATACGGTTTGGTTTAGACCGATTTAAGAATTTTTTTGAAACAAAATCAATTTTAATGGTTTTATAAAATTTAGAACAAAACTGAATCATTTGACCAAAGGAACCAAACTAGACCAAATCGAGAAAAATCGGTTTGGTTCGGTTCAATTCCACGATTCAAATCAAATCAAACTGTCCGATCCAATTTGGTCCAATTTGAATTTTAGATACGACGGAATTTTTGTGCACCTCAATAACAACCAAATGGGAAATGAAAAGTCAGTGAAATAGATTACTAATCCAATAAAGCATAAAAGATTGCTTCTTTCTTTTCAAGATGCTTTTGCTTTGCATTATACAATTAATTTATGTAGCATATAAAGATTATTGCTTAAGCTTAAAGCAACTCAATTAGTCAACAGATTGCTCATTCCATCATGTAGAGAAACACTTTTTTTCTCATTTTGGATTTAACTGATTCAGATCTTCTTATTACTTAAGTGCCTAATTCAAATTCACCACAACGCTATGACCATTCAAATGCAATTTAGATTTTGAAGTGTCCATTTAATTTATATGCTAAAATTCATACACTCACTTTGTCTCATAAGAGGTTTGAATCATCGACCTTTTACTCAAAAGATTACAAAATTACAATTTATTGTTTGTTCGAATTTTTAAATATTAAAAAATAAAAATAAAAAAAAATCAACTTTTGGTTAATGTTTTTCTTTCTTTTCTTTTCTTTTCTTTTTTTTTTTTTATTTTTTTATTTTTTTATTTTGTTGTCAATTTGAAATATATATATACACACACGTGAGCTCTAAAATGTATCAAAATATTTTATATTTGTTTCTTTCAGTTATTTATTCATTCTTTAGTCCAAGTAAATGAGATAATTAATTAATAGATTATGCAACTACCATATAATTTATAAACCAATATTGTTTTGCACTCCCGTTTGGACTGTTGAAAGCTTGATTTTATTAATATTTTAACTTCAACAACCAAAAAAAACGTATTGTGATTAATTTAATTTTTGAAAAAAAAAAAATATTGGGATTTATTCTTTTGAATCTAATTTAATTTATTGCTTCTTGGGTTTTTGAGAATTTTGATATTTTTAATATGAAAAACTAGAATTTTTTTTTTTTTAAAAAAAAAAGATTAGATATGTGTATTGTGTGCACATTTTACAAAGGGCTCAGTTGGTACGGTGGCATGAACTGAAATGGAACAAGAACAATGAAGGTGAGAATGGAATTATAAGAGAATGGAAAGGGAATGATGATTTTCGTTCTACTGTTTGGTTGCAAATATGAAATGTATAAAAATAAAATGATCATTCTCAATTCTGTGTTTGATAAAAAAAGTTAGAATGGAATGAATTAATATTATTTCTTTAAATTATATTTTTATTATTAGTAAAGAAATTTAACTAAAAAAATTAACTTCTACAAAAACAAAAGGGAGAATAGATAAAAGAAAGAGAAAAAAAATGAGATAGAGAGAGAAAGTAGAGAAACATAAATATATGTATATGTAAGTATATATATGTGGGTATTATAGATATAACAGGGAGAATAAGAAATTGAATCTGGTGAAAGAAATCATTTACAAGCAAATCAGAGCTTGATAGAAATTGAATCTGAAGCGTTCATTGTGCCCAAGCAAAGAAGGGAGTCTTCTCACTGTTTCGGCAAAAGTTCAGCCCTTCGGCTTCCATTAAAACGGGTGAACACTAGGACTTTCAACTTCCATTAAAACCGGTGAAAGCCCTTCAGCTCTGGCAAATCGGCGAGCTGCATTCAAAGGCTCAACGGTTCCTGTGAAGATAGACCCAGTTGATGCTCCATCACCATGAACGCCGGCGAGCTTTATTCAACCAGTGATTCCGGTGTGAATTCCGATCAACAAAGGTCTATTAATTCCGATGTGCTCCAGTTGCAGAATCTTCATCATTCTGGCAAGTTGCTAAGTTTCAGCTCACTCCGATGACCCACCAAAGTTCATATCCGAAGCTTGGTCAGTGAGCATTGACGATTCAATTGAAGCATCAGTTCCAGCGTGCTTCAGTCACGGCGACCAACAATTCCAACAAACTTTGTAAACAGGTCCGGCGAGACCAGTGATGACCAAACCAAAAAGTTTTTTTTAGATGGAATGGCATTCCCTGGAATGTCTTGGAGAGACCATTCCACTTTTAATATGACATACCAAATATGACATACCAAATAAGAGAATGAAAACAAAAACAAACATGACCTAAGGGAAAAAAAACTTCTTACTTGTTAAGGGGAGCTTCCTGGAGGCTTGAAATGGGTGGGCATTCCTGGAATACCTTAGAAAGGCCATTCCACTTTTAATATGACATACCAAACAAGAGAATGAAAACAAAAGGCAAACATGACCTAAGGGAAAAAAAACTTCATGCTTGTTTGGGGGAGCTTCCTGGAAATGGGCTTCCAAGCCCATGAAGGCCTTTCTTAAAAAATGTCCATGTTTGGTGAAACAATGAAAAAGAAATTCTAACAAATGCCTATCTTAAAAAGGTCCGTTCAAGCAAAGTTGGAAATACTTGCTTTTAGAACTTATTCATTGGGAAGCCATACTAATTTTAAGTAACAAATTCTATAGACAAGTTTGCCCTTTTATATTCCTTAAAACTAGCCGATCTACATCACTTCATAGATAAACCAGAACGAGAGATTCTGAGTCTTCTACTCTCATCCAAATACTACGATATTTTTCCTATTTTAACTATTTCTCTAAGAATTCTAGATAGGTTGCAATTCTTCAAGCATACAACTAAAATTTTAACATTAGGTTAATCTTAAGTTTTTAATTCTTTCAATATCTACTTTTGAAAACCCTAATCTCTCTTCACCTATATTTATTTCTCTATAAATTATCTTGCACATGCTAATTGTGTTACTCATATTTTCTTGTCATATAAAGATGGTTTGCCGACAACCTCCAAAGAAGAAATTTCGATAGTAAAAAGTGATTTTATAGTAGAGATATCTTCTGCGATTTTATAGTGGAGATATCTTCTGTTTATCAAGTTATTATTAACAATTAATCTTCAATAATTGATCAGCACAACAATAGAATTATGAATCCGTCATTCGCTAATATTTAGTACTTCACCACTTTTTTTTTTTTTTTTTCCCCCACTTTTTCATTTTCTTCATTCTTGCTATATGCCAATTCAATTGATAACAGGTTTGTACTCTTCTCTGAAATCTTCCAAGAAATTTTTTTAAGGGTAGATCTTAAGGGTAAAATTGTCAAGTTAAAATTATGTTAATCGTTGAAGAAATTTGAACTATTGCATCCACCAAACAACTTTTTCCATTTAAATTTGCATATTGAAAGGCATTCTTCAAAGCCCTTCAGAATAAAAGGAATTTTAAATTTAGAAAGCTCCCCCAAACAGAGCCTTCATCTTTTCGAGACTGATTCCACAGTATTTTCACTGATTTGAAAATAAAATTTTAAAATCAGACTTCTAAGTTTGAATTTTGATAATTGGCTGAGAATAATTGATATTAATAAGGAAATTAAGTGATATTTTCACATATATTTAAAAACATTATCCTTATATCTTTAAACATTATCCTTATATCTTTAATGTTGTTTGATAACTCATATAAATACATAATTATTAAGAGCCTTGTGATCAAGTGGTATCTCCTATACTTTTTAAAGTAGATGGTGAGGATTCGAGTCTCCAAAGAAGCAAATCGGCTGTGTGAGTTTCTTGCCAACAAATATATATATATATATATAGCTCATACCCTTTACGTCACCCAGAGGTGAGAGCTAACAAAGTAGCTGTGTGAGTTTCTTGCTAACGAATATATATATAAATATATATAGCTCACTCTCTTTACGTCACATAGAAGTGGGAGCGAGAGCAGGAATGCGAAAGTGGCAAAATATAATTTATGCATAGTAAGAACTGATGGGAAAGCGCAAGAGCAGCACCATTGAGAAGAATTATGTAACTTAGCTTATAGTATTTGAGTATAAAATTTAGAGTTTTTGAAATTAATAGTTTAAAGTTGTAAATAGTATGATTTTCAATTTCAAATTTAAAGCACATTCTGTGCTATATATCCAGAGTAACTTAGATTTTGCGAATTTTATATATGAAAGATTTTGTTCCTAATGATGTACAGAAGTAGAAGTAGAAGTAGTAGTTTTGATATATATGAAATGGTTGAAGTAACTCAATAATCTTTTATTTTCTTTTTGGTAAAAGAAAGAAAAAAAAAACTTTTATTTACTTTTAAATATTTATAATGACCTACACAAGAGTAATCCCCCCCAATGCATAATTCCCCAGAAGCAAATTTACCCAATACAAATTTGTTACTTTACCGAAAAATAAAAAATTTTAAAAAAATAGTAGAAGTTATTAATTTGTTATGTGAGTACAAATAAAAACAAAAAAAAAAAATTAAAGAAGGCTGGTCACGGATTCAAATTGACGGTGGAAAAATAAAAAAGCAAAAGAACAAAGTAGAAATTAAGCAAGCCCATAAAGTTACATTTATATATAATACAAGAACAGAAATTAAGCAAGCCCCTAATGTTACATTTATATATAATACAAGAACAAGAGCATATAGGCAGTTTATATCAACCATACAATGAAAATTAAACTAGTGAGAAAGTTTGCATCTCTAAACAGTTATATGTCATATATATATATATATATATATATATATATATATATATTCATACAGAAACCTCTACACCAACGAAAAGAAGAAACTAAGAACAAGCAATCCGATTGTAACATGCCCATGTGGTGTTGTAGAGAGGATAGAAAATGGCCTCACTGGTGAGCTTCCACTGCGAGGAGGGCTGCGCCGAAGAAGATCTGAATCACCATAAACTCCTCTACTCTTAGGATGATGAATTATTTCATGCACTCCTTTTAAGCTTAATTGATTAATATCTTCTTTGCTCGATTCAATCACTGTATCATTTTTGCCTGCAAACAATTTACATGGGGAGGAAAAAAAAAAAAAAAACAAATAAAGTTAATTTATGTATGTACATGTATTTTTAACTTTAACAAGGATTAATTTGGTTATATATACATATACATATATATATATACACACATATATATATAACAACAATATGATGAGAAATTTAAAGAACTTACAGGTGAGATGTTGATCCTGCATCATGAGTTGATCATGATCACCTCTGGTTTTCATGTTGGAAGTGGTTTCACATGAACAGGGTGGTAAAACATTGAAGCATAGGATGAAGAAGAAGCATGTGAATGTGAGTAATTGAGTCTTCATGGTCTCTTGTGGACTCTAGACTATAGACTGTTTATATATGTCAATGTTATTTATCGGTGTTACTGAGACGTGTGAACGCCTTTGTTTGTGTGTCGGAGAGAGTAAGATTTTAGCATATACTTTTTAGGATTAGTTTCAACTTGTATAAGCAAAATGACATAAAAGGATTTAGTAATACGAGAGTATTTCATCCATAATTTATCATTGCATACATGTAATTCGTTAATCTCATAAGTATGTAATTATTGAAAAAATCTATGAAAATGTTAGTTTGAAGTTGAAAATAATTTTTATCACCACATACATGCAGTTCATTAATCCTGTAAGCATATAATTATTTAAAAAAAAAAAATCTATGAAAATGTTAGTTTTAAGTTGAGGATGGTTACTTAGTACAAATGATGAGGATGGTTACTTAGTACAAATGATATCAAAAAGTTAAAGTTACGGTATTTTTGGGAACCAAAATTAGAAAGAATTTCGATTTTGTGTCCACAAAAGCATGACTTACCAAAACAAAATGAAAAGAATAAAATAAAAATAAAAAGGATACAGATTTTTTTTTTTGTCGAATTCAATAAAGTTTAACCTTGTCTCCCACCCACTTCAAAAGTATTTATTCTCAAGACATGTGCATTGTTCGGAAAGTATGTGTCAATGTGTCATCCGCCCAAAAGAATAGATATTGGGTCCATTAAACACGTCATGTTATAAATGTAATAATTATGTTATCAACAATTTTATAGATAAGTGGACCAATTTTTTTTTGAAATAATACATTATTATTATGTAGGTACAATAATACATTGCGCGTCTAACATATTCAATATCTACATCACTAAAAAGACAGCTAAAATGGAATAACCAAATGGGAAATGACAAGTCAGTGAAATAGATTACTAATCCAATGAACCATAAAAGATTGCATCTTTATTCTTTCTTTTCAAGATGCTTTTGCTTTGCATTGTACAATTAATTTATGTAGCATATAAAGATTATCGCTTAAGCTTAAAGCAACTCAATTAGTCTTCAAATTGCTTCATTCCATCATGTTGAGAAACACTTTTTTCTCATTTTGGATTTAACTGATTCAGATCTTCTTAGGAGTATTACTTAAGTGCCTAATTCAAATTCACCACGAGGCTGTGACCATTCAAATGCAATTTATATTCCGAAGGTGCTCAATTAATTTATCTAACTCGAATCATCAACTTTCTAATGGAAAGATTACAACTTACAATTTAGTGTTTGTTGGCATTTTTAAATATTATATATATATATATATATGCGTTAGCTCTAAAATGTATAAAAAGATGCTGGAACAGTAAAACTCTGAACTTATATTTGGAAGGTCGAGAATTTAAGTAGTAAGTTGCAGGCTGAAGGAATAAGGTGAAAATAGTAAAACTCATCGGGTTCTCTCATGAACATCAGTCGGAAAAGAAAAAGGAGGAGATTTTCTTTTTAAAAGTACTAGTTTCTTCTGTTTTTCTTGAATCTAACTTTGCGGTTGCTTATGCAAAGATATAAGAGAATTGATGCTTACTTTTCTTCGTCATGATATATCTAAAAGCTAACACACACACACACACACACAAACATATTCTAATTAATCACACTTTCGGCAACCAAAGAACATGAAATTAATACCTGTTCCTGTATGGTTATATGAAGATGAATTTGATTTGCGATTGGAAGAAATTTAGTATAAATTTTAAAATAATTTTTTCTTATTTCAAATAAGTAACCAACTCTGTACTCCCAAAACATAACATTAATTTTTTTTCTAGTTAAAGAAAATTATAGAAAAGACTAAGAAAAATAACATTTAAATAAAACATTTTTTGGTGACTAAAGTTTTGAAAATAAAAAATTAATTTTTTTTCCTTTTACTCGTATTCACTTTTCTACTTTAGAAATTATTAGATGGTCATGATCTATTTGACACTTGGTGGACTGATTTAATAACAGTCCTCCAATCATAACAATTTATAATATATTAATACATTTTTGTGGGATCATTTTTTTAATCCGAGAGTTTGCATTTAATAGGTCCACCATTTTAACAATAAAAAATACTAAAATTCAAAGTACTAAAAAATAAGTGTAGTTTCTTTTGATGTAAAAATTTTTTAAAAAAGAAAAAAAAATTATTTTTATTTTTTAGTGTTTGGTTTTAACCTAACAAAATAATTTAGGTACTGTTTGAATACTTAATTTAGTACTTAATTCATAATGGATTAAACATTTACTCAATTAAGTGCGTTTGGTAAATCATTTTGATTATCACTGAAAACAGTAAACGCCACTTAAAATTGGGTAAATTTTTAAGTGACATAGATATCACTTATAAGTGAATGCTGAATGTTGAACGTTAAAAATTCAAAAATATTTATGTTGACCTTAAGGATTTCATCTAAGGACAATCTAGGTGTTTTGATGATAACAAACCATTAATGGTGTTTATGGACTAATGTTCACATTGAGTGTTGTAGATGATTCACATTCAAAGAAGAACCTCAATGAAGATCATAAAGACCATTCCTAGAATTCCATTACTCAAGATCACATTTGTGGATAACAAATGAGACAAAGAAGACATGAAGTTGCAAGGAACCAATTGCAAAGTCCATCCAAAGATAACTTGGACATCAATGATTAAGAAGCAACTTAAAGAAAGGAAGGAAGCAAGAATACCTCAAAGCCTAAAAGATCATGAACAAAGCTTGAAGAAAGATGTAGATAGCTTGGTGAGTGCTAGCTTAAATTGTAAAGTTATTTTTGAAATAACTTCATTTGAAAGCTCATCTCTGTAGGACCATGCATATCATATCATCATTCATATGCTCCTATATCCATTAGCAATAGACTATGCACTTCATTCATATATAATTGCACATGGAGTCTTTGCTAAAAAGTGAGTTAGTTCAGGCTTGCATAAGTTTTGAAAGAACTCATCACTTGTGCTAAAAATACTAAGACCATGCACATCAATCATATAATTCATATTGGTCAACAAGTAAGGCATGAGAAACCTTCATTATCATGAGTTGGTAACGGACATTAGGACCCCAGAATACGCGGCATGAAAAACTGTATTTTTGGCTAAGTGTGAAAAATGAATTTTTGAAATAATGATTATTTCAAAATAATTTTTCCCGATAATAACTCTTTATACTTAAACTAACCTAAACTGATTTTATCAAAAATTTTGACCAAGTTTACATTGGTCTACATAAGGATTTATTTTTACCAAAACAGTCAGAAATTCAAATTTGTACTAAAACTGAATTTCTACATTTTGATTTAGTTGGATTTCAATTTTTTAGTATTTTTTATTGAATCCAAATGGGGGGTACTTCCTTATTTACATTGTAAACTTAAAGTAAATGGATATATAACTCATCAGTTAACTTAGAACACAACTTATGAAGTAGCAGTTTCATTTCGGCAGACCGAAATGCATAGGCAAGTTATTTCGGCCTACCGAAATAAGACACTCAGCAGATCTCATTTCATTTCGGTCGATCGAAACAGAGAAGGGTTTTACTTCGATCTACCGAAACAGAGATACTGAGGATGATGACCAATCTTAACCATTTCGGACGACCGAAACATAATGGTATTTCATTTCGGTTGACTGAACCTCGCCCAGATCTGAATCTGAACGGCTATTTTCTCTCGGGCAGTGTGTACAATAGCTATATTTTTTATTTAACTGCTGAAACTCTATAAATAGAGTTGGGGTTTTCTGGTTTCGTGTTGAGGCTTTTAAAAGGAACTTCTACAGAGCTTTTGCTCTAGTTCCTCCCTCTCCTTGTGGAGCTTTTGCTCTAGATGTCCACACAAGGAATCACCATTGAAATACATTACATATCATTCATGTGATTCATCTTGCAAACTTAGAGTTGAGCTTTCATTTGATTATTTCAATTGTAACTCTAAGTATGAGAGTTTTGATTTGTATATTTGTCTATTTGAGAGACATTCATTGTAAGCTTCATTATATATCCATTCTTGAGAGAAGAAGACCAAGAGGTGTTTTTGGCAAGGGAAAGCTTGTTTAAGCTATTGTAAGGGTTCTCTTTCTAAACCCATAAAAGAAAGAAGGTGTCTCTCTAATGAGAGGATTTGGTAGAGCTCTCCACCCACAAGAGTGAGCAATGGTTCCTTATTAGCCGTCAAAAGAAGGAGAAGCGAGATGGCTTCATTACAAGGTTGGTTCTTCACCCGCAAGCAAGAACATGTAAAGGTTTACTCTCCACCCGTAAGGAGTAGCCATAGTGGAATCCTTGAGAGGTTTTCTCAAGGCATGGACGTAGGCTGAGATTGTGCCGAACCATGTACATCGTGTGTCCCTTGGTTTGCATTTTCTCTACTCTTTAATCTCTACTCTCTTTACATTTGATTGCATATTTATTTACTCAATCTTCATATATCAAATGTTTTGTTTATTTTGAGTAGAATAGTTATATAAATCAATTAACTAGTATGTGAAGCTTAATTGATTGTATGAGGAGGATTGGATGAATGCTTGGATTAAGTTTAATGTGAGTGATTGATTTTAGCTTAGACTATATGTTCTATATTTGATTCATATATAGCTAAAATGATATTGCATACCAAGTATTTGACAAAATGCATATTCAACACATTATTCACCTTTAGAGTTTATATGCACACCAAGTGTTTGATAAATTTGTTATAAACTTTATGATAATGTTTTCATAACATTTACACCTTGTATATTAATCACTTTAATATTGTGCAAATGCTAATTCTAAATGATTAGTTGAATTGAATGCATTGAAGCTTAAAAGAATTCATTTATTTGAATCGATAATGATCACACTTAGTGCATGACTAATTAGCATGATTCAATGTACAAAATGAATTTGTCATTTGCTAAAAGCAATCTTCTCATGTGTAGCAAGCTCATTGTTTTACATTCCAAATATTAAGTCGTATCTACACTACAACTCACTAGAAAAGCATTCAATCACAATGAATCATATTTGGCTCTAAAGTATAGAGACAAATAAAATGATCTTAGAGAAGCTAAATAAAAAAAGTTCCATAGTTTGCCAATGACCCTATTCACCTCTCCCCCTCCTTCCCTCCCTCTAGGGTCATTACTTGGGCAACAATTTATTTTTTAAGTACCACTTAAAATCTTCTATACTTAAAATTTTGCTTTTAATATTTTCAATACTTAATTTTCAATTTTACCAAACAACACTTACACATTAATTTTAGACAAATTATTTTTACACCCCCTGCTAAACAACCAAAAATTAAAAATAAAATAAAATAAATTGAAAAAGATGGAAACAAAGAATAACGACAAGAAGAAATTTAGAGATAACTGTATTAGAGAATTTATTCATCAATCTTATTTACGACCCCTATTTATAATAATTTACAAATTTAAATTTGGTTAGGACTCCTATTACTTGCCCATATGCTTGTGTGAACTCCAGAACCAACTATGTGCCTAATTAAACCCCTTGACATTCCGCTCATTTTGAGAAGTCTTTTCCAAAATCGAGAGTTCAAAGTTGAAACTTTGACGGTCCAAACACAATTAGCTTTAATGAAGTGCTTGTAAATCCAAGCAACCCATAGACTATCCTTCTTAATATATAACTTTCATAAGTGGTTTGAGGCTTGAAATTTTGGTAGTCATCTCCAAGCAAGGAAAACCAAATCCACCATTGATTTTTGGTTTACAAATGGCTGACCATGCAACCTTGGCTCCCTCCATCCTTAGTTCAACTCGGGAGCAGTAGAAACTTCTAATAACTTAGTTGATTTGAACAATGACTTGTTTTTCTTGTTGCTTTACGCTATCTATTACATGGCCAATCACCCCAGCTCTATCATTATGAAGTCACTCATTTCCCTAATTTGTCTGGATTACAATATATATATATATATATATATATATAGTCAAGTTCTTATTGTAGTATTTTTTTTTTTTTTTTCGTTGGCAATGAATACGCACGCCCATTTTGCTGGCTATTTGGGGACTCTAACCCTTACCATCTACAATTTTTTTTTTGTGACACCAACAAAAGAGATCATTTAAGAAACAGGGATAATACATTAAGCGAGTAGAGCATGTAACAACCATAGGGGCCAAATGCTCCACTCCAGATCATTAACTTCGGCTTCTAAAGTTTTCTTACTCAATAAACGAGTTATATCATTTCCTGTACGAGGAACCCAAGTAAGAGAGGAACCAACGCAATCCTTCATAGGAAAGACAATATCATTGAGAACCCTCAACTGGACGGCACTTGAGGCCTGAAGCCTTATAACCGATTTGTAGTCTCCTTTAACGACCACATGATGATAACCCCAAGCCTTAAGAAGCTCCAATCCTTCTCTCAAAATAAAACATTCAGCAAGCATAGGATCACAAATTAACAAGGAACACCAAAGCCACATTAATAGACTGACCCAAAATATTCCTTAAAATTATGCCACCTCCACAACTCTTACGGAAACTATTAAACGCCGCATCAAAGTTGAGTTTCAGGCAACCAGTCTTTGGCGCAGACCACCCCCTTACAAATGGCGAAGGCGGGACAGGGGCAATGGAAAGCTGGTGTTGTCGAGACACCTCTAAAAATTCATAAAAAGCAGTAAAAGTTGTTTGCGCCGCATCAAAAGGATCCCCACTTCTTACATTTGAACACAAGGTCATTACAACACTTCCAAATGATCTAACAAATAAATGCCGCCAAGCTAATGCAATCACTAGGAGCATCAGACTTCGCCCAACCATCACATAAATCCCCCCACCTCTTCGGCTAAATGGACGGCTGATGAGCACTAAAATCCACATGAATGGGGCTAAGCTTCCATACCAAGCAAGCAAATGGGCAAGCAAAGAAGATGATCAACCGTTTCAATCGAACTCTCACAAGTCAGACAAAAAGAAACTTCTGACGCCCCACAAAGGTGAAGCTGAGAGTTAACGGCAAGGCGGTTATGAAGACTTTGCCACAAAAAAAGAATTATTTAACAGTGAGCGTGGATTTTCAATAAACTTCTCCACATATTCCCTCTACTAGCATCAAAACTACAACCCTCTATTGAGGATTAACAAGATTTTGATTAACAAGACTTAATTACCCTTACTTAATAGAAAAATTGAAATTGAAAGAGGCACCTCAGACCCTAAGACCAGCTCCGCCGGTGGCACTAAGGGAAATTTGAGCAATGAGATTCATTGAACCACAAAACCCTGGTCAGTACTTATCCATTTTAATATCCGAAACGCACATAGCCTAATTAAGATGACATATGTGCAGTAGCAAGGGTAAGGATAATTTGTTAAACATTTAACATGAGGATGGTTAATTTGTTGAACATTTAAAATAACAATCGTGAATTTACTTTATTAGACACATTAAATTATCATTTTTTTTTTTTTTGATAAGTACATTAAATTATCAATTTAAATAATACAATTCACCTTTGGAAGGTTTAAATGGGTTACCAGTTCAACAAAAAAAACCATTTTTTCTCTCTCCTCACTCACTTCTCTTTCCCGTCCCCAAACAAGCTGCCACCGACCGAACTACACAGACCACCGGTGCAAAACCCTGTCCACCCAAAACAACCACCAGTGCAAAACCCTGTCCACCCAAAACCTCCTCCCCTACCGCAAACACCACAACAACCGCCCAAAACCTCCACCCGTCACAAAGCCAAACCCCAATTGAAAAAAAAAAAAAAAAATTGTAGATGGTGAGTGTAAATAAATTAATAAAAAAAAAAATTGTAAATAAATTAATAAAAAATAAATGGATAACTCAAATCCTAATCCGAAGAATTGAAGACCAAACCACCACCGGAATCGCGACACCACCTGATCCTCATTCTTTTACCCAAATAAGCCACCACTGCTCTGCCACCGCCGACCACTGTCCCCCACTACACAGCCCACCGCTGCAAAACCCTGTCCAACCAAAACCTCCATCACCGCCTATTGCAAACACCACAGCAACCACCCAAAACCCCCACCCATCACAAAGCCAAACCCCAATTGAAAAAATTAATCAAATAATAAAAGATAACTTTTCGCGTGTTTCAAATTTAACGAAGGAGTTTGCGTCATTGTTCAAAGATAGGTCTCAGGGGTCATTGTACTCTACCCTATTTTCTTTATACATATATAAAGTGATGTGTAACTGTGGAAGCTGAGGTTATTCGGTTACTCTTCTTGTTCATTCTTGGAATCTCCCGGACGGCCACGTTATCGGTGACTGAAATTAAGGTGTAACCTCGCTTGGGGCATGAGGCGACGGTCGGCGACGGAAATGACTACGGCATCGATTATATAAACTGTAGATTGCTTAACTAAACTTGCTTTAATTTTGGGTATTTAATATGTCCTCTGATCGAAAGAAAAATACTGATCTCGTCTCCAAGATGTGAACTCTTTCGTGAATGATAATTGTTCGATAAAATGCCTCTGTAGTTAATCCATGTAGTTAATCCAGCTAGTAATATGGGGGAAAAAAAATTAGCTAGTAATTCATGGCTCTTTGGATGAAATCAATATTGCATCAAGTTTCGGAATTACTGTTACAAGCTAACTTGTGATTTTGATGACGAACTGACTGAAAACCCATTGAAGTAAATGAGTCTGAGTTATTGACATGAGATAGTCTGGGCTATTTTGTGATTTTAGTTTCATTAATTCAGGCAATGTGTTACAATTATCTCTATTAAATAGCTAATTTGCCCATGCTTGTATAGTATTACAACTGTCAAGAAACTAGGAAGAATGAATATGTTTTGTAGAGCAAGCCTGGCATTCAAAGAAATCCATCGACTTCTTTTTCATGTACCATACTGCTTGCTAGCTAACATTTCAATTTTTTGAAAAGATTATTGTCATTTTGTTTCCACCCGAACATGGTTTTGTGATGATGTAAGAATTTATATCATGGTATCATTTATCATGAAAGCTATATTGCTCTGCTTTTAAGTTTAATCTGTAATTACGAATGACTTGTTTTAAGTAGTAGAGTTTTGCCTTGACGGTATTGGACGGTGTTCAATGGTATAAAACATGGGATCAAGGTTCTTATATTGTTTGGCCAAAACAAGATCCTTTAACTGATATTTCAATAAAAAGATCCTTGAACTGTAAATGACTCAAAAAAGATGATTATTGAAAACTATTTACTGCTTTAATTTTCTGCCGAAAATAAACAGCATGTCGGGAAGGAGGCAATCCTTACTTCCTACTTGTCTATAATCTATGGGGTTGATATGTAATAATGGACTGACTTGGGCGTTGCATTTTGTCAATAGTTCCTTTTATACTCTCTTGTGCATCCAAAGCATTAACACAATTTTTATTAGACTGGCAGATGATTGTGGTTTCTCCTTGACCTGTTTTTGGTTCACTGTGTACTTAATTAGAAGTTCTTTTGAATTATTCATTTCTCGATATAGATCTTGATTTCAGAATATCTTCTCTTAAAATCCGTCAGAGATCATGATTGTTTTATTTTATTTTATTTTTTACTTTTTTTCTTTATTTATTTTCTGACAGGAAATTCCTAGCTGGCAAATTCCAATTGGCTCCTGCATTATACAATCAAACAAGGACGGTTACGGCTGTTGGATTCTGACCTCCCCCACCCCAATCTTAATTTTAAATATTTGAAACTCTTTGCAAAATCCTTCACCATAAATTTCCATTTCCAAACCTCAATGTCTCTCAGGAAACCCCCACTCCCTCGGCCCCTCCTTAACCAGGTCTCTTGCATGAGAAATGCACAATAAATCCTGCGACACGTAAATGTCTCAATTCATGATGGTGGTGCTCTTGTGCTGATGGACACCAACGGTTCGGGCAAAACCACTTTCTTGCGTATGTTAGCTGGATTCTCTCGACCCTCAGCTGGTGAGATCATCTGGAACGGTCATGATATAACTGAATCAGGGGGACAAGCTTCAGCTCAACTGGCTCTCCCTCAAGGATGTGATCATTGATCAAAGAAAAGTTCACAGTCCTCGACAATGTTCAGTGGTTTGAAGTTCTTAAAGGCAAGCAAGGAGGTCTCTGCCTGCACTAGAGCTTATGGGGCTTGGAAGATTGGCGAAAGGTAAAGCAAGAATGCTCTCAATGGGCCAACGGGAAAGGGTGCAGCTTGCAAGGTTGCTGGCAATTGATCAGCCAATTTGGTTGTGAGCCTTCAGTGGCATTGGATACTGAAGGGGTTAAGTGTCTGGAGTAAATTATTGCAGAGCACTGAAAGAAAGGAGGGATTGTGATTGTGGCCACACATCTGCCAATTGAGATTGAGGATGCAATGTATTTGAGGTTGCCGCCAAGGTTTCCACAGGCTGGTTAGTGAATTGAATTGCTAATTGGTTCACTATTTCTTAATTAGAACTTATTTTGAATTGTTCATTTCTTGATTTAGGTCCTAATTTCAGACTATTTTCCACTTCAAACCCATCCAAGATCGTGATTGTTTTATTTTCTTTTTCTTTTTCTTTGGTTTGTTTTGTTTATATTTCTGACACGGGAAATTCCTTCGTAGCACCCCAATTAGCTCCTGTAAGCATAAAATCAAACAAGGACAGTTACGGCTTTTGGATTCTGCCATTACCATCTCTCACTCCCCTCCCCCACCCAGTTTTAATTTTTAAATTCCTCTTCGCAAAATCTTTTAACATAAATTTCCATTTCCAAACTTCAATGTCTCTCAGGAAACCCCCACTCCCTCGGCTCCTCCTTAACCAGGTCTCTTGCATGAGAAATGCACAACAAATCCTTTGATACGTAAATGTCTCCATTTATGATGGTGGTGCTCTTGTGCTGATGGGCACCAAAGGTTCGGGCAAAACCACTTTCTTGCACATGTTAGCTGGATTCTCTCAACCCTCAGCTGGTGAGATCCTCTGGAACGGTCATGATATAACTGAATCAGGGGTTTTCCACTAGTACAAGCTTCAGCTCTCCCTCAAGGGTGTGATCATTGATCAAAGACAAGTTCACAGTCCTCGACAATGTTCAGTGGTTTGAAGTTCTTGAAGGCAAGAGGGAAGTCTCTGCCTGCACTAGAGCTTATGGGGCTTGGAAGATTGGCAAAAGATAAAGCAAGAATGCTCTCAATGGGCCAATGGAAAAGGGTGCAGCTTTCAAGGTCACTGGCAATTGATCAGCCAATTTGGTTGTGAGCCTTCAGTGGCATTGGCTACTGAAGGGGTTAAGTGTCTGGAGTATATTATTGCAGAGCACCAAAAGAAAGGAGGGATTGTGATTGTGGCCACACATCTGCCAATTGAGATTGAGGATGCAATGTATTTGAGGTTGCCGCCAAGGTTTCCACGAGCTGGTTAGTGAATTGAATTGCTAATTGGTTCACTATTTCTTAATTAGAACTTATTTTGAATTGTTCATTTCTTGATTTAGGTCCTGATTTCAGACTATTTTCCACTTCAAACCCATCCAAGATCGTGATTATTTTATTTTTTTTTCTTTTTCTTTGGTTTGTTTTGTTTATATTTCTGACAGGGGAAATTCCTTGGTAGCACACCAATTAGCTAGGGGAACACTTTATCTTTCTCAAGTTAATTCAGGGGAGTTCTATCACACCCCCACACCACCACCCAAAAACCATATTTTCTCCTTAAGAACTATTAATTTTCCTGCTTCCTGAAATTGCAATTAGCATTGAGGTTCTATTTGTTAGTGTAAGTTTGGTTTCATGTTCTCATTTGATGTTTTGTTTACTCAATAATTGCTAACATACCTTATTATCCTTTTTTAATTGTTGCTGCTTTAATTAAATGACTTGACCAATATGCTCTATGGGAAATGGTTAAATGCCATATGAGGCTCACCTGGATCTCATTGGGGCTTATTTAATTGAGGATCTTTTCTCGCTGAATTTTAATCTAAGCATGTTTGGGATCTAAATCTTACTTCTTCCTAGAAGTCTGATGAACATTACATTTATAATTTCTCGTTAGATTTGCATTTCTGTTTTGTGATAAATCCTAATTTGGACAGATATAATGTCATTTTTTATTTTAGGGCACTAAAGCCAGGATGGTATCTGTTTTTTTCTTTTTCCCCTTGAGTTATCTACCTCTTGGGTTTTAGTAAGATACAGAAATCATGTTCGCCAAATGAGCTGAACCAGGTTCTTTAAAGTCTGATTAGTTGTACAAAATAATTGTCAAATCGTGTAATACGTATTTTTTATTTGTAGATATAAGATAATATTCAGAGAAATAGATGCACAACAGCCACTGTCCACAACAAACTGAAATGTTAAAAAAATGTTGAAGTTCTTTTTTGACAGTTCACTCTTAGTTGTCCCGTGACAAAATGTTTTCAAAACATATGCATGACCATTCAAAGTGTGTGGAAGTGCGACGGAGGATCCATATAATTTAATCTTTACTTGTACATCAAGGATACTTTGCTTCCCATTGCTTAATAGAGTACAGAAATGGTTACGTGTTTTGTGGAAAGAAAACGGAAATAACCTTAATATAAGTGTTGACATTTAGAAGGGGTTGTAGGTTGAGTTAAAATGAGAGGAAGGAATGAATTCCACCAGATGTGCAAGGGGAAAGAGTGGGAGAGAGATGAATACCTGTATCCGTTGAATTCTCATGCAGGAGTTGCATGGAGATGCGGCTGCAAAAATGCAGCTTGAGTAAGGTGTATATGAGTGTGTGCTGATTTGTTCCTTGTTTTTTTGAAGCAGTTTTGACTTTTTTTTGTTACGCTGTGGTGTTGCTACTATACAGATATCTGTCTTATGCTTCTTTGCTGTTTTGAACTAAAATGAATCATGTTCTGTGTTTGGACCAGGTAAGCCCGTCTCCTGCTTTAATCAAGGCTGAGGTGCCATGGTCAGCTCGAAGAGGAAATCTCTCTGAGAATGAACACGTCTTGAAGACAGTAAAAGGGTAATTTCTTTTGAGCTGCATCATTCAATATTGGATGTGTGGTAATTCATTTCTCATATGATGGGTAGCTAACAATATTGTCGATTTTCAATATTAAGCCTAGGCATTACTCTAATGCCAAAATAGTTAGAAGATATATCTTGAATTAGGGTGATTTTACTTGCTGGAACCATCTTTCTCCCTGTACAATATTAGTCCTACCACCACACACACACACACACACAAAATAAGAATATATATACATATATATTATATAAAGAACTGATATAGTTGAAATCTCTGCTTATGAATGTTTGATGGGGTTCAAACAAATTCTTGGTGATGAATTTGATTTGGATGAATACTTTAGAATGTTCATATTATTTTCATGATTCGATCACAAAGAGGTTCATGTTATTTTGAAACTTTAGTTTCGCTTACCCTTTGTTTTTCCTTCTATTTTGGTGCTCACTGCTCGATGATACAAGAATGTAAGTAGGCTTTGTACTTCTTTTTTGCGTGATAGTTCTAAACGTGCTGAAGTACCTAGGTATGTAAGGTAAGATGATGCTGAGGCGGCGCTGAAGCCACTTCAGACTGCAGTGGATGGAGTTAAGGAAGAACTCAAGAAACTCAACAAGGGTGTGGGGGCGTTCTTGGAAGGATTGAAGTCGTCGAAGTGACCATTTCTATAGCGGTTTTAACCTAAAAGACCATTTGGTAGGTTTGAGTAACTGAATAATTGTTATTTATAGTAGTGTTGAGTATTGAATTTTCTTTTTCATGTACATGGTATGCTGTGTCTGCTGTATTTTGATGATGGTTTTAGCTTGCCACTGGTTTTTTCTTATTGTTGTTTATGGACTTCTATATTCCTTTTCCGATTTAAGCCGGCAGAAAGGAAATTTCATGGGCAAGGTGGTGTGTAACGACAGGCTTATTAGGAAGGTGGTGCTGTATTTTGATGATGGTTTTAGCTTGCCCCCACGAAGGCAAGCAAGGGGGGGTCTCTGCCTGCACTAGAGCTTATTAGGAAGGTGGTGCTGTATTTTGATGATGGTTTTAGCTTGCCCCCATGAAGGCAAGCAAGGGGGGGTCTCTGCCTGCACTAGAGCTTATGGGGCTTGGAAGATTGGCAAAAGATAAAGCAAGAATGCTCTCAATGGGCCAACGGAAAAGGGTGCAGCTTGCAAGGTTTTTGGCAATTGATCGGCCAATTTGGTTGTTAGACGAGCCTTCAGTAGCATTGGATACTGAAGGGGTTAAGTTGCTGGAGTATATTATTGCAGAGCACCGAAAGAAAGGAGGGATTGTGATTGTGACCATGCACACATCTGCCAATTGAGATTGAGGATGGAATGTATTTGAGGTTGCCGCCAAGGTTTCCACTAGCTGGTTAGTGAATTGAATTGCCAATGTAATTAACCCTGCAACAATTGGGATTGAACTATAAGAGACTTTCTGGAAGGTGCAAAAGCTTTGAAAGGTCTAACAGGGAGAACTGCAGTCCTCAATATGGAGGCAGTTGCTTTGCTTGAGAGGAAGGAAATTGTAGTTTCATTCTGCATTGCATTTCAGAACATCTTAATATATCATATGTTGGTAATTTCATGTAATATTTTGCTGAATTTAAAAATACAGAGAGTTTTGGATTTGAATTTTCAAAATTTGCATTTAGTAGGGTAAATTATTGGTGGCTGGTTGCTTGACAAAAAGGAGAATTGACCAGTAAATTATCAGTTTTGGAATGCTCTTAATTAAGAGTGATTTCAGAGTTGGATAAGGGCCAAAACCTAATTTGATTGCATTATAGTAAAATTGAGTCCATCTTGCTACCAAAGAAAGAAATGAAACTTGCTACCAAAGAAAGATACGACTATAAATCAAGGGTCTCTCTGTGACTCGTTAGCTATCATCCGTTTTCTTGCAGTGCCCAGAGACTAATCCGGGAATTCCGTCGCTCTATTACCGTCGTCAAGCAGGCATTCCTAAATCCTAATCCGAAGAATTCAAAGACCAAACCACCACCGGCATCGCGACACCACCCGATCCTCATTCTTTTATTATCTTTCCCCTCTCAAACCCTAACACAAATAAGCCACTGCTCTGCCACCGCCGACCACTGTCCCGATCGAACTACACAGCCCACCGGTGCAAAACTCTGTCGACCCAAAACCTCCATCACCGCCTACTGCAAAACACCACGGTCCTGTAGAGAGAGAGAGAGAAACAGAGAGATGGCGGTAGTTGAAAGAATTCGTAAAGCAGATGTTCGTGTATTCGAGTGGGACGAAAGGATTTTCAAAAACGAGGGTTCGGAATCTGAAGGAATGTTGATGATCCGTGTATCAACGGATGTTCTTGTTGGGGAAGTCAAGATTGATTTAAGAATAAAGAAGGATATTCTTCTTCCATTCCGTCTCGACAACTTATTTCCTCGAGAATCCTTAGAATCAATGTTCGATCTGCCCAACCAATCCCAGAAAATTTTCTTGCTAGACACTAATGATCATATTCTATCTGCACATTTAATTAAGTACCTTGTAAGTAATTTTCAGTTTACCACCACAGTAAATTCGTGTCCTTTCAGAAAGTCCAAAATTGTTGTCGTCGTTGATATTTTTGCGGAGAGTACTTCTGTTTTCAAAACCACTTCTTCCCAAGATTTTCGTAATGAAGAAGAAGAAGAAGAATGCGTTGAAGATGAAGAACAAGCGATGGTTTCCTCAACTGAAAATCAAGAAGATGATGAGGACATGAACTATGATTCAACGGATTTAAATGTTGAAGAAGAACATGAAGTTGACTGCGTTGATGATTCAGAACAAGATTTTGAGGATGAGGACGAGGACGAGGACTTGATGGATTATAACAATAATGTTTCAGACATGGTTGATGAGGAGAGTTACTATGCGGAGGTACCAAGGAATGATCATTTGGAAATTCTAAGCACATTAAGAGACGATGAATCAATTCCTAGGGACGAACCAATATTCCTTTTCAAAGAAATTGAGACCGCAGTGAAAATCAACAGATTGAATCATGATCATACCTCACCATCAATAGATAATTGTTCAATATGTCTGCAAAGGTTCTTGACAAGGACTGAGATCGCAACCACACCCTGTTCACATATATTTCATCATGATTGTTTGCGCACTTGGTTGCCAAAAAACAATTCTTGCCCAATGTGCCGATCACTTTGCGCTACCATAGTTCATATATAGTTTATGTACCTTGTATATATAGTTTATGTACCTTGTTATCATATTAACTATTTTTGTTATTCAATGTATTGACAATTCTTTAAATCTAGTGATCCATTGTATCTTTTGTGTGGCAATTTTAGGTCATTTTTTATTTTCTTGAATTTTGGGTGTGAACATATATGTTATCTTTTATGTTTATCAAATTTAACACGGTAATATATACAATTCATGAATGTTTTTCGACTCTTATCATGTATTTTTTAAAGGTGAAGCAATAAAGTAAGTAATAAGTAGATGTTCCAAAGTCTGTTCATTAAACAATTTTACATAGCAAAACATGAATTTTTACGGTTACATTCGCGGCATAGATTATATAAACGGTAAATTGATTAACTAAACTTGCTTTAATTTTGGGTATTTAATCTTTCTCAATTTTTTTTTTTTTTTTTCCTTGAAAAAGACCCAAATACGGAAACCCTATTTTGGGTAGTTAGTATTTGATGTTTGTGTCTGAACTGTCAAAGAAAGTTTATGTTCTAGGTGTTAGAAGCGAAGGCTGTCTTTGATGTCAATGTAGTATATGTATCTCAGAGTCAGCAGTACTCTTTAGTGAATGATAATTGTTCGATAAAATGCCTCAACTAATGTAGTTAATCCAGTTAGTAATATCTTATCAGGTGAAAAAAAAAATTAGTTAGTACCAATTTGCAGGTTGTTATTGCAGAGCGCCGAAAGAAAGGAGGGATTGTGATTGTGGCCACACGCACACATCTGCCAATTGAGATTGAGGATGCAACGTATTTGAGGTTGCCACCAAGGTTTCCTCGAAGGATGACTTTAGTAGACATGCTTCAACAAAGATTTCAGAGTTGGATAAGGGCCAAAGCATAATTTGATTGCATTTTGAAACTGCAGCAAAATAAATTGTGTCCTAGTAATTAAAACATTGTTCAGTATAGCTGTATTGATGAATGGCATTGTGGTATTGGAATGAAAAAAGCAATACATATTAGCTTTAGCTACTAGTGTAGAGTTAGTGTTGGCTAATTGCCTTTGTCTCATGTTTAGTGTCGCATTTTTTCTTTTAATCAGGTTTTTGTTTGCATCTGTGTTTGAAAGTTGAATGGCTTTGATGGTGAACGAACTTTGAGAATTTCCAAACCCAAACTTGGTTGGGAATAGGGGATTAAATGACTCAAATATCCTCAATCTTTTCCCAATATGACAAGTCATGCCCGTTCTTTTGTTATACCTAAATGACCATAATACCCTTTACACTAGGCTACCCATACCAACCAACCTGTAGAAGTAAAAAGGGCAAACAAGGAAAAGAAAAGAAAAGCAGGGCATATAAATAGACTGGAGCACTTGGTAACCATTGTATCAAGTCTGGCTTTGTTGTAGGAGATGCAATGCTATGGAGTTGTGCAAGAAAAGATTGTGATCCAAAGAATGGAACATGTTGTAGGAAGCTTGGGAGTGCCCGCGCAAACTGAAAATTAGGTTATGCAGTTGAAGAATTTCCATTTCAGTAAGGTCAAGCTGAGCAGGGCTTCAAGTGGTGGATCCCAACCGGACTTCGCTGAAACATTGGGCCGGTCTTGAATGCTTGCTGGTCTTTGTTCCACCGTTCGGTCCATCTGGTTTGCGTTGCTCCATTTGGACGATGGGCCTGGATCCCACCCATTATGTCCTCTGGTCCACGTGGGACTTCCTCATAGTTGGTACTTTTGCTGACTTGTCTTGTTTCCTCATTCACATATGGGTGTTTAATTACCTATACAGCTAACAATTTGTGAGTGGATTCTTTATTTATTTATTTATTTTTAACTTGGGAATGGTTAGTGGGACTAAAGCATTTTTGATGGGCTCTTGGAATTTAAGTTCTTTAAAGTTGCTACATCAACACTTTTCAATAACTACGTCAACGTTTTAGAATTTCTAAATTTTAACTATTGCATGTACTTGAATGGTGCATTTTCGCTCTTAATAAATTTTATTTTTTAACTTTTTCCTAACATTTATATTTCTAATAGTTATATTTATAAATCAATATTCAATATCATTTGATTTATTAATTTATGGTGAAAACAAAAACACATTTTTTTTTTATATAGAAAAATTATATTTTAAAATAAATTTCAATTTGTTAGGGAAAACAACTATAAAAAAAAAAAATTTGTTTGGTTAACCAATATAATCATTAAGGCACTGTTTGGGTCAGCCAAACAGTACCTAAAACAGCTATAATATCAATATAAACATTGAAAATTTTGAAAAGGAAATAAAATCACATTTTTTTCAATTTTCTAAAACTTTTTTTTGCCCAAAAAAGCCTTTGAGGGACTATTTGGCTAACACAAACAGTGCCTTAACGGCTCTTTGGTTCAATTATTTTGAGGGGGAAAGGGGGGGGGGGGGAGGGGGGAAAAGACCAAAAAAAGCCAAAAATCTAATTTTTAGCCTTTATTTCAGCCAAACATGCCTTTAGGAATAGTGTTATGGGCTAAAATAGTGTTCTGGACCAGAATTAAAAAAATAAAACAAAACAGAGGTGGGCCTGCATGGCAGGCCCGCAGCTCGCCAAGAGGGTCACTCCATTCCGCAACCCATAGTTTTTGGAGATGCTATTGGAGCAGTCTAATAGCGAAAAAGGGCCTAGAATCTCTGAAGTCTGGATCGTTGGAGTTGCTTTTAGGGAGTTAAAGGTTAAGGGGGAGAGAAAATGATGCTGGTGGATTTCGAATACAAGCCAAAAGCCCCAAATAAAAAATGGAAAAAAAGAAAAAACAAGAAAAGTAAAGTAATGCTTTATATATATATGTGTGAGCGCGCGCGCGTGTTTGTGTGTGTGTAATCAAGATTGATGAAATGCTTAAAAGAGTTGTTTTGTTCAAAAATTTTATCATTTCATTAAACGTAGAAAATTTGTAATTAATGAATGTTAAAATTAATATGGTGAAGAAACAGTTCGCTACTTAGCATTCCTCTTACAATTGGCCTAATTTTCTATTATGGTGATTTTTCTCACGCTATGCACGTACTTTAATTCTCACATTCAATTTGTTCGACTTAATTTTTTTTTTTCCTAATTTTCTATTTACGCAAAAAATCAAAGAAAAGAAAAGTACTGCAACTGATACAACTATGGGGGCACACTTGTGTTGGAATTTTATCATGTTGGTTTTTTGTTAAAAAAAATTAAAAAATTAGTAATATTGGATTAGGTTGAACTTCAATGTTAGGCAACTTAAATTGATTAATCCAAACTAAAATTAAGCAGAGTGGTTTGGGATGATAGGATTATGAATTTGTTAGGCTATCTTCTTGATATAATTGAGTTGTAAGTGAGTTTTAATTTCTCTTCTTGGACTAAACTAAATTTTGATACATAATAAGACCTTGTGCTAAGGACCGAATGAGCTCATTATCTCTCTGTTGAGAACTTGAGAGAGACGCTAAAACCTTAAACAAAATTGTGAATTTTTTTCGTATCCAATTAGTGTATTACTAGACTGCGTCGAACCTCACACGTCTTATGACACCATCGGTGGCAAAGATTTCTTGAGTTAAATTTTAGGCACCAAATTCTCAAGGCTTGTTGTATATTGACATTGTAATTTGTTACAGGTGTGTTATATTCTTGAATTAAATATTGAATAATGATAGAAAAATTAATGAATTAACCCCGAATATGTATCGAATCTAACGTGTTTTTGTCCAACTCATTTATTTAAACAGTTTCCAAAAATAATTGTTTAACACATGATAAGAATGGCTAATCACGTCAAATTCAATACTAATTCGGTGATTCCTTTTCGGTTCCCCTATCATTACTCTTAAATATTTTGTATGATTGTTGCATCCTTAATAAAATATTAAAATAATGATAGGGAGACCGATGAATTAACCCCAAATAAATATCAAATCTGACGTGTTTTTGTTCACCTCATCTACTTAAACAGTCTTCACGTCAAATTCGATACTAATTCGGTTATTCCTTTTCGGTTCCGCTATCATTACTCATAATATTAATAGAACAGAAGACAAATTCGATAACCGTGAGAATTACAAATAAAACGTGGAGTATTATTAATGTGTAAAAAATATTAGCACTATTTCTAAATATCACATAAGATAAAATTGAGAATCAACCATGGATCTTCAAGAATCATAAAAAAATTGTGTTAATCTCGACATTTGACTTTCTTTCCCTCCAAACAAGATCCTTTTCCATGGTAGGTTGATTGATTTTTTGTTCTTGTTGCTTTCATTCATAAGAAAATATAAACTTTAGCAATGATTCCAGAATCCAGGGTATAAAGCAATGAGTTATTGCATCCAATGAATCCCACCATTACTCTATCTGGTAGAAAGGAGTTCAAAGAGTTCAAAGTGAATCAGACCACATAACTGACACGTGTGGGTCACTTAATATATCTGTTTGTCCAATGTCAATCTTACTTTTCTTCGTGATGATATATCTAAAAGCTTAACACACAAACAAACATATTCTAATTACTCACACTTTCAGCAGCCAAAGAACATGAAATTAATACCTGTTACTGTTTGGTTCTCTGAATATGAATTTGATTTGAGATTAGAGAAAATCTATTGTAAATTTGTTTTAACAAATTTTTGACCGGAACAGGGGAGGATACACGTTACACCATGATTTTGAATCAGAAGGGAGATTATTTTAGATAAGTCACCAACTTGATACTTCCAAAACATAACATCAATTTTTTTTCGAGTTAAAGAAAAATTATAGAAAAGACTAAGAAAAATAACATTTAAATCAAACATTTTTTGGTGAATAAAGTTTTTGAAAATAAAATTTAAATTTGGATCGGACTCCTATTACTTGCCCATATGCTTGTGGTAACCAATGGTGTGCCTAATTAAACCTCTTGACATTCCTCTCATTTTGAGTAGTCTTTTCCAAAATCGAGAGTTCATTTTGATGGTCCAAACACACTTAGCTTTAATGAGGTGCTTGTAAATCCAAGCAACCCATAAACTATCCATCTTAATACATAACTTTCATAAGTGGTTGAGGCTTGAAATTCTGGTAGTCATTTCCAGGCAAGAAAAACCAAGTCCACCATTGATTTTTGGTTTACAAATGGCTGACCATGCAACCTTGGCCCCCTCCATCCTAGTTCAACTCTGAGAGCAGTAGAAACTTCTAATAACTTAGTTGATTTGAACAATGACTTGTCTTTCTTGTTGCTTTACGCTATCTATTACATGGTCAATCACTCCAGCTCCATCATTATGAAGTCGCTCCTTTCCCTAATTTGTCTGGATTAAAATAAATAAAAAAAAAAAATTATAAGAATAGTCAAGTTCTTATTATAGTATTTTTTTTCATTGGCAATGAATACACATACCTATTTTGCCTGTTTGGGGACTCTAAGCCGCACCGTTTACATTTTTTTTTTACACCAACAAGAGAGATTCATTCAAGAAACAGGGAGAATACATTCAGGGAGTAGGGCATGTAACAACCATGGGGCCCAAATGCTCCACTCTAGGTCACTAACTTCGGCTTCTAAAGCCTTCTTGCTCAATAAATGAGCTACACCATTTCCTGTACGAGGAACCCAAGTAAGAAAGGAACCAACGCAATCCTTCATAAGCAAGACAATATCGTTGAAAACCCTCAGCTAGACGGCACTAGAGGCCTGAAGCCTCATAATCGATTAGCAGTCTCTTTCAACGACCATATGATGATAACCCCAAGCCTTAAGAAACACCAATGCTTATCTCAATATAAAACATTCAGCAAGCATAGGATCACAAACATTAACAAGGAACACCGAAGCCACATTAATAGACTGACCCAAAAAATTCCTTAAAATTATGCCACCTCCACAAGTTTTACAGGAACTATTAAACATCGCATCAAAGTTTAGTTTCAGGCAACCAGACTTTGACACAGACCA